GCTGACCGGCCCAGCAGAAGGCCGGTGAGGAGGAAATGGGGAAAGTATTCCTAGAAGGTCACAGCAAGCAAGCAAGGCAAAATCAGCGAAGGCAGCTTGGTTCTCTCAAATCATTGACGGTCTCTCCTAAAACAAACCAGCGCTACACCTTAGCAAGGCAGAAGTTCTATGACTTCCTGGACCGCAATCAGCTTGATCTACCAAGAAGGCGGGAGCACCTAGATGGGCTCCTGAGTGAATACATCGAACTCCTGTGGACCGAAGGCGAGGGACGTGGGCTTGCCTCGGACACGGTCGCTGGACTTCAGGACGCCGATCCGAAGCTCAAGGGGCAGCTCCCCGCTACTTGGAGGCTGTTGAAAACATGGCACACCAATGAAAATCCGAACAGGGCCCCGCCCCTCACTGAGACAGCGGTGCACGCCATGGTAGGCTGGAGCTATTTTTCCACGGGCACTATGGATTCGGGGTTTCACTCCTAGTAGCCTTCTATGGGATGCTGCGTACGGGCGAAGTGACAGAGGTTGGAAATTGCCACATTTTCATGAAATCAGCTAGTTCGCCAGCAGTAGTGAGCTTAGGCCTCACGAAAGGAGGGAAGCGAGTAGGTGCGGCAGAGTCAGTCACCATCACGGTGGATGTAGCCTTGAAGTGGCTGTGGCAGTGGAAGTCGCAGACCACGTCAGCAGCGAAATTACTCTTTAAGAGTTGCATAGCTGCCCTGGAAATGTCGCTTTTCGAATTCAGGCCCCACTCCCTGCGCAGAGGGGGGGCGACATTTTGGTTCGCCAAGCACGGGTCGCTAGATAAGCTTCTAGTTTCCGGGCGTTGGCAGGCCGCCAGAACCGTACTGGCTGACTTGAGGCTTCCCTCGAAATGTTTGACCCCATTTGTCCGTGTGTTTCACAGCCATCGTTTTCCACGTTTTCCACAACACTTGAACTCGCGCTCGCGCGCAAGAGAAGGGGGGCGTGGAAGGAAGTCTTTTTTGCCAACTTTTTGCCCACAAAAGCAAAAACCTGGCCTAGGGCTCTCGGCTTGGCGAGAGGCCCTAGGAAGGTTAAGGGGGGTTTTCCGATCCCCAGGCTTGGCGGGGGTGAGGAAGACTGAGCCCCTAATGCCTTGGACAGGCATGAAGAGGAAACCATGAAACTGATCTGAGGGCGATCAGGCTTTGCGTGTCTTTGCATTCAATCTTTTTTATCATAAACTGCGGAGCGCCGTTAAAAAGAGCGGGTCCTTGAGTTTATATATATATATATACAAATCTGTTTTATGTTTTTGCTTTGGGGGGGGGTCTTGCTAACAAGTATACAAGAGCACGCCTGCGTTCCAGATCTCGCTTTCTATCCGCCGCTTACCTCAGGCTCGGGGTTGTATGAAGCATCATAAAATGCAAAGTAGGATGAACTGTGTGGCTCACTAGCCATGCAGGCCACATCTATTGCCTGTTGCTATATATAGCATCGCAGTGCATCACAACTCGCAACTAATAACTAATGATGAAGAAGAAGAGTTGTGTTGGAGTTTGAATGTGCAGACACCTCTCCTGTTTAAACGTGCTTTGTTTCTGCGTTGGTCCAGCAACTGGGCCATGGCGCATGTCATGGCACCTGACTTGGAACCTTGGGATCAAATTCCTGCCCAAGCACCATGGGAAGACAACCACCTGGAGTCGGAGCCCAAGCCACACCCTGCCTCTGAGCAATTCCGAGTGCTCTTGGACCAGCTGCTCCAGCAACACCTGCAGGAGCTTAGCCGCGCGAAACTTGGAGCGTTTGTCTCCGCCTCCAGAAGTGTCAGTGGGGATGTTGGACACGTCGGGACTCTGGGGAGGGACCGGCGGAACCTGGTACGAGGCACCTCTACAGTGTCAAACAGCAATGGGCCGAATGTAGCCGTTCGCAAGACCACAATCCTGAATGCACTGGGAGCTGGGAGAAGATCGAAGCGACTGCACGACCAAGAGCAGCACGATTTCCTATATGACCAAGATCCTGATCAATCGATGATAATGGATGAGAAAGATGAGAACTGGGAGAACCTGTCCTTGCTCCAAAGATGGCAACAAAGGTTTCTCTCATACAAATATGACATGGTCATTGCTTTCGCCCTTGCCTTAAACGTGCTGTGGATGGCCTTTGAGCTTCAAGTGGCCGGCTCTCGCTCTGGATTTTCTGTGAGTGTTTATGCCCAGCAAATGTCAGAGCAGGACTGGCAAATCTGGGAGAACACCTTTGTGGTGGTAAACCTGTCTTTTACCGGCTTCTTTTTCCTGGACGTGCTTGTGCGCATTTGCGTGCTGAGGTTGGAGTTTTGGAAGCACTGGATGAACTACATTGACCTTGTCGTAGCTTTACTCACGGGCTTGGAGGTTTTTGCCTTTTTTTCAGCTGCTGGATTGCCAGTCGATCCCATCATGCTTCGGATTGTTCGGATGGGAAAACTAGCCCGCGCAACGAGGCTCGTCACGCTGAATAGTGTGCTAACTTCCCTGGAGCTTCTCATTAAGTACTTGGCGGCGTCCACCCAGATGCTTTTTTGGAGCTTTTGTCTGCTAACATTTATTCAATGTGTGGCTGGCATCCTGGCGAGCACCCTTTGCCTCGAGTTCATCAACAATGTCGACAATGATGAGATGATTAGAAAGGAAGTCTATTTATACTATGGTACCTTCACGCGTACTTTTCTGACTATGTTTGAGGTGCCCTTCTAAGTTGTGGTGAAATGCATGCCGTGCGGAAAAGCACCCATTGATTGGAAATGCAGTACAGCACACCAGAAACGCACCACACAGCAGAAAGGCACCAGAAACACCAGACATGCACAAACGCGACCAATAAGAGGGTTTCGCTTTGCATGATAAAGGAAAGGCAAATTTGCTTCTTTTGGCAGTGCTCAAAGGAATCGGAACTGAATGGCTGACAGAAATGAACACGTAGTGAGACCAGAGAAATGCGATACTGCAACCATCCACAACACCAAGTTACTGTACTTTGTTTTCTTTTTCTGAGTTGGACGTCCTCATAAAGAATTGGACAGCAGAAAGCATGCGCAGGGCCTGGTGTTTCGTTCAACAAACTGACAGGGGCCTCCAAGCCCAACCTTTTGATATACTGTATCTGATCTACAGTAACCGAACCAACAACTCCGATAAACGCTCTTCGCAAAAATGCAAAAGCAAGAGCTGATGAACATCCATTCAACTGAGCACGGTTACGCTGGAGTTTTCCCTCTCTTCGTGAACAAGTTCCTCTTTGTGAAAACACAGTGTGAAGAACCGCTGACCTATGTGTCCCTCTAGTTCTTTTCTTTTTCACTCTTTGTGAAGAAGTCGCTCTTTGGCAAATCACTCTTTGATTGGTGCTTGTGATTGATGACCCTTCTATTCCCTTATGGTAGAAGCCTAGCACATAGAATATTTACTCCTTCACTTTGCCGTCACAACAAATTAGAGTCGGACGTCCGGGTGCGAAGCAGTGCAAATAGAACATCCCCATGCAGATAGAACATTACAACGTGCACAGATAACATTAAGCAACGGCTTTAGTGTTTTTTGAAAGCCAATTGATGGGTTTGAGTTCTGGTCTTTCTGATCGAAATCGATGGCCGTTGTAGCGTTTCGTGATCAAGAGTCAAGCCAGATACCTACTCGGGGCAACCATAGGTACTGGCCCATGTGTAGGCCTTATTCTAACTGCAAGAATGTAACACCCTGTGGCTCAAACAAATCAAGTATATCAACTGCATACATACCCCATTTGAATAATCTAACTACCGGCCTGCCTTCTACTATAGAACATACATACATGCATGCATACAGACAGACAGAGACAGACAGAGACAGAGACAGAGACAGAGACAGA